GACAAAGAAGCAAAGGCTGCATCGCAAACCTGTTTCACGACCCGGTGGCAGGCTCCGGTAGCGGCTCCACGATGTTAGGATACAAGCACGTCCATGGATATAGATCAAAAAGCCATTTAATATTTTAGGCTAAACGTTAAATCCCGATCGCTCACTACAGTCAAGTCTGCCTTTCCTCGTTTGTTATGTCACCAAGGAACCTGAACGCCCCCCTTCAGGTTGATCCCGGTTCATCCGCCTCCATTTAACTGTTTTACCATAAGACCTTGGAATCTACTGCTGTGGTGTTTCCAGCCTACGTTTGTTTCGAGTTTTTGACGTAGCAGTTTGATTGTGGTTTAATCTTACGTTTTCTTCGGGTTGAGCTTCCTTCGTTATTCCTCATTTTTATATTAAAGTTAAAAAAAACTATTTTTTGGCCAGGGTTTGCATTTATTTATGGTCATGTTCACCGTTAGGGCACGTGTTTCCCTGTACAATGAAATTCTTACTTTGCCGTCCACATGAATGCCACACAGTACAAGTGAAATATAAAGTAGATAAGCAGTAACACAAATCTAAGGCACTTTAAAGCACCAAGTGAAAGAATCACAATAAAGATACAACAAGAACACAATATAATGTAGCGAGAATATATTGTAATGGTTCTGATGTCTAGCCTCTAGTTATATGGTTCTACATGTTATTGCCTGAAAGAATGTGAGGGGTGTGGGAGGAGAGAGCGAGGAAGAGCAGGCAGTTGTTGATGTGGAGTGTTGAATGTTGGGAGTTTTTCAAAGAAAGCTTTTGATACCGCAAGAACGTCTGGCTGCTTGTGTAGGAACGGAGAGGATTACAATATGTTATGTGGGAGCCGTGAAGGGCAAACAGAAGGAGGATACCTTTATTATCAGTGCCACTGACTTGCACTGACATGTTCTTTGGAATCTAGACAGAAAACCACCGGAAATTCATAAAGGATTTGTCCCTGTGTGGTACCAGCTTAAACCACCTCATCACTTGGAACCAGGACCACCCACTGAGAACAAACATGACGGAACATTATCTAGTGTATAGGGTTATACTGTGACAAAACTATGGTTATGGATTTAATCTCCCAACATTTAAAATATACTCTGTCACCATCTGCTGGCTACTTAACACATCTACATGCATAGATAGGAGGAAACTATTTCAGCCAAACATCCGAACACACTGATCGTCACAGTGTGATATTGTGAAATTGTTCTGTTTGTGACTTCTGTTTGAACAACCATGAATTCAGTCTGAATCATAACAAAATCAGTTCTAACACTGACCCCAAACCTTCAGGTCATGAGGGAAAATAGATTGAAAGAAAACTAAGCGTGATTATGTGAGTGAAGGGTGAAAATGTGATCCTTATATTATGAAGTAGAATTAAACAGTGATCAGCTGATAACCTAAAGCTGTGACACAGTACTGTCGTATAAGACACTGTAACAGCATAAGTTAAAGTTTATATCTGTCTGTGCAGCACTAATGCCTGACAATATCTGATCAACTTTTCATTCCTAATTGATCCTCTGCTGTTTGTAAAATGAAAGAAAAGTTCTAACCAGTCTATGTCCCATGTTGCAGTTGGGCAGAAAGTCATGAACCAGAAGACGATTGTTGATGTTTTGAAGAGTATCAGCTTAACCAGGCCGTCTTTTTATGATCATCTGCTGGACAGTTACAGTATCACATCCAAGTTTAGAGACAAACAGCACAATATCCTTTATTCTTCCTAAATATATTTATATTTGTATTATACATATTTTACATGTGTGTTATGGTCACACACCCAAGCAGATACAACAACCTGGCATGAAGTTTCTGTTGTCAAGAAAATAAAATCATAAAATTTCCTCATGGAATTTTTTCCAATACAAGAAAATTTATTTATCAATTACATTCTATCTCAGAAGGTTAGAAAAGGCTGTCATTCTTTAGGCCACATTGATTTAATTATTACACCTCATGAAATGTGTCCCCTCACTTGTACATTCTGTCCATGTCTTTTGTTTTATATTCAGTTATTTGTCCTGTGAGCTGTGTCACCCTGTGGTTGCATGAGGACCACCTGTGGAGATCAGAAGTAAATACTGAAGTTATCAGAGAATCTAAGAAATGAAATAAAGAAATGTGATAAAATCTAAAATGGAAAAGTTCTTCTGACCTCTCCTCTGGACTGAGGGTCCTGGATTGGATCCTGGTCTGGAGTCCTGGTCTTGGCTTTTCTGCAGAGATAAAGCCATGACCAATAATATCAAACTCCCTCTCAGCACTGTCCAGGTCTTTCAGTTACTTTATTGTATAAAACTGACTTCACACATGAGGCAGTAGAGAATAAACACAAATAAGTTGTTTAAAAGTAAAATGCACAGAGGATGTCTTATAGTAATAGGCTATAGTTTATTGTTGATCGCTGTATGTGTGTTAGTCAGGTGACCGAACATTAATTAATCAGAAACTATTTGATAATTGTTTATGTCATTTTGAGCTAAAACACCAAATATTGTCTTCTTACAGTTGAACCATTCTGAGAGAGAATTTCTGTGTTTGGCAAAGCAGAATGTTTCTAAAATGTTTCTAGTATTTACATTTTCTTTTCTTTTTTTTTTTTGTTTGTGTGTGTTCAATTACAATTGTTGTTTTATGATGAAGGTCACACTGCCATGTGCAGTATCCACTCACCTGCAGATGCAGACAGCAATCATTAAGCCACATAGAAGAAGTCCAGTTACAGGTGGAAGTATGTATAGAAAATACCATGATGGAGGTATTTCTGCAGAAAATCACGTGAACTAGAGAAATGCATTTTCTGAAGAAAATGTGTGTGGAAGTTAAGTGCTGAGGGATCACCCTGAAAATGCTGAATATTTTGCACCTGAATGGCTTTTCTAGCTGTAAGTATGCAGAAGTAAAATTTCCCCATTCATGTGAATGGGGCAAAACATTCAGAATAAAGCTTAAATATTTGAAGTATGAAGTTTTGAAAAATTCTGAATATTCCTGCTACCATCCCTCCTTTAAGTGTCTTCACCAATTCATCCAGGTTTTTTCCCCACAGGAATACAGACTGTGCTGTGCACATTGAAATCTCCACACTGTCAGAAACGGCGCGCGTAAT